ATATACTTAAATGTACATGTATAATTTTAAATATATACCCACAAGTATAAAAATACTTAAATATATAAAACAAAATATGTTCATACAATATATGCATCTCTTGTATGGGGTTACATATGATATATTTATTTATATATGTTAGAGAATATTATTTATTGCCTGAACTTATCTGGTTTTTTTTCCAGTTGTGTTCTATTATTTGTTTTTTGAGACAGAGAGTCTCTGTGTAACAGCCCAGGCTGTCCTGGAACTCACTCTGTAGACCATGCTGGCCTCAAATTCACAGAGATCTGCCTGCTTCTGCCTCCCAAGCGCTGGGATTAAAGGTGTGTGCCACCAATGCCCAGGATTTTCTATTTGTTTATTTTAATGTTTTTTTCTATACTCTTGGGTCGTCTCATAAGTCAGGAAATCCTTTTATTTTCTATTGATATTTAAGAAGGTAGGATGTGGTGTCAGTTTTCCTAATGAGTATATAAATAAGTCAATTGAGATTTGGAATCAACTAGTATCTTTAACCCCTCCTCACTCTATTTGGGATTAACCTTCTGGAAGGGGGCTCATGGTAGCTGAATGCCCTGAGGACAAAACAAAGGGAATTGTATTTGGAGGTCACCAACATCCCCAGGAAAAGTCTGGGCTTTGTGCACACCTACTTGTCAGTAAGGAAGGGAGGATCCAAATGCTAAGCCTAGTTGTTAGCAGGAAAAAGACAGTTAGGATGCGTGGACATCTCCTAGAGGTTTTTGTTGATCACATTTTTAAAGTCTTCTTTCCCTTCCACTGTGTTTGTCTCCTTACTGAGGGCTTCCTAGGGCTAGATTTCTCTTCTCTAGTTCCTTCTGTATCAACTTCTTGGCAGCAGCTTCCTTTTCTAGTTCATTTGCTAATCTGCTCCCAAATTTTCACTGCTCAAAATTTGTTTAAGAATCTGTTTGGTAGGCTGGAGGGATGGCTCAGTAACTATGAGCACTGGCCGCTCTTACAGACCAGCGTTGCCAGCATCTGTCTGGTGGCCCAAAACCGTGTGTAACTCCAATTTCACCTGTTGTCCTCTGTAGGTTACATGCATGTGGAACACACAAACTCATGCATGTATACAATACATAAGTAAAATAAATGAGCAAGTCATTTTTAGAAAGAAAAATTAAAAATTCTTTTGCTGATAGCATTCCCACTGTTGAGTTGGTAAGGTTTCTTATCGGATACTTTCTATTTTGAAGGAATATTCGAGGAGTTTCAGAAGCTTTTATAATAGCAAAGGTTTTGTGAGTATCTCTGTGTCCCTGATGTGAAAAATGCATAGTATCTGTACATCTTGCTTCCTTCAATTATTTTTCATCTTATTCAAATGTTGATTTTTCTCTCTCCTTAAATACTTGAATTCTTGGACATTTGTTAGTTGATAGTTTACTCTGTAGGAAGAGTGGTTTCCTCTCTGTTCGGCTGTATCTCTGTTACGCTATGAACTCGTGACTACTTATCTGGTTCTTATGGGTTGTAGTCCACTGCTAGCATTAGTTTTTGTGTTCCTGGAATTGTTACAGCTTCAGCCTCCCCAGGTTTTTCTGCTTTAGTCCATACGCCCCGTAGGCATGTTTTCATCCCTTCTGGCAATTTCCTTGCCACCCTACAGCAACTCCAGAGCTGCTTCACATTTCCGGTGATAAAGTCCTAGGACCTCTGTATTCTTTCATTGGAGATTGACAATGGAACACCAGCTATTCAATGACAGGTTTTCACTATTGGGGTGTCATGGTTATCAGGAAGTGTATGAAAACCCAAGCAAACATGCATGTTTTGCTTTTCTCTTTAACAACAAACCCCATGAATGCCTTTGAGGAATTTATTCAAGAAAAAATATACTGCTTTTTCTAACTTAATATATTCATAGCAGTCCTTTGGTCTCTTATACATGGTCTTAGTCCATTTTGAGTGGCTGTAACAGATTATTTAAAGCTAGATAATTGACACAGAATGTAGATTTATTTGGAAAATGATTATGGAAGCTACAAAGTCCGTAACTGTAGTGCTGGTGTCTGGTATGGGTCACCATGCTGAGTTGTAACATGGTGGAAGGACAAACAAACAGGCAGAGCACAGGGAAGACACTTGACAGACTCATCCTCGCATTAGGAGCCCACTCCCACAGCAATGGCACGATCCACACTGTAGCAATGATAGTTAATTTCAGAATGCGTCTGGGAAAGGAGACTCGGATGGAGTGGATATTCTAGATCCATGCCAACATAAATAAAAGAGCTCAAAGACTAAGGTGATGTCTCTTTAAAAGTTTCCAAACATGGGGCTGGAGGAATGGCTCAGCAGTTGAGAGCACCAGCGGCTGCTCCAGAAGGCCTGGGTTCTATTCCAGCAGGAACGCAGTGACTCACAATCACCTATGATCCTCTAATTCCCATGGGACCCAATGCCCTCTTCTGGCCTCTGTGGGCACCAGACACACAGTGATACCCAGACATATTTTCCGGCAAAGTGCTTGCACACACACAGAAAATTTTTTTAATTTACCAAAATAATGATATCTGGGGAATATTATTTCTATCTGTTTATGAGATGTAGGCAAGGAAGAGTTTGTATCAACAGTATGAAGGAATTAAGATCCAGTTTAGAATTGAACAATCTTGAGCCATGGCAGTGTTTGCACCGAAGCAGGCAATGTGTGTTAGCTGGAGTCAGTGAACAAAACATCACCAATGTTACTATTCCTAAGCAGTTGCTGCCATGTAGTTCTCCAGTTTGACAGGAAATTTGTAGAATATTTTGTATCAGAACATCACACCATCTTTCTATAATCACACATAGCTAGTTCCTTTGGCAGACAGTTGCCATCTGGACAAAATTCTAATAATGTGCCGTTTTTTCAGGCTGAGTTTTAAGAATGTGTGCTGTAAACGAAGATTCTGGTAGACTTTGTGGCGTTCTAGTTCCCTTTCTTTTGCTGTAAGAAACACCATGACCAACGCAACTTGGGGAGAAAAGGCTTCATTTCGTCTTGTGCGTTCAGTTTGTTGTCCTCCCGTGAGGAAAGCCACGGCAGGAACTGGGAGGCAGGCTTGCTGACTGTTTGGGGAGCCCTTTTGCCCAGGGAGCAGAGCAGAAGCCACAGAAGAATGCTGCTTGCTGTCTGGATTGCTCAACCCCAGGACCATTTGCCTAGGGATGGTGCCATCCATAAGGGACTGGGCTATTCCGCTTTAATTAATAATCAAGACAATCCTCCACAGACATGCCCATAGGCCAATCGCTCTAGGAAACTCCTCAGTTGAGGCTTTTCTGTCAGGTGACTCCAGGCTGTGACAAACTTACATCTAAAGCTTACTAGAATGTGTGGTACATCTTTTCTCCCAAGTTCTCATTGTTTAATTATTTTTGGAATGAATCCACCTGCATTGGATTGAGTTCCCTGAGACGGTGTTTGAGTGAAAGCCCCTTGTTTGTGAATTCAGAAATGACTGGCACACCGAATGTGTTGATTGGCTTACAGATAAACTAGACCAGTTGTTTGTGAAGGAAGTATGTAGTACCCAGAAAAATAAAGGGAGAATCTTGAGAAAATATTCTGGATTCTTTGAGAGAGTAGCCCAGTGTCTCAGTAACACATGGTCTTTTCATTCATGAACATCAGTGAATGATTAGACATGATATTTCTACGAAAATGACAGTGTCAGATCTGATAATGTTGAAGGAAAGAATCTTATGAATATCTTTACAGTTGGATCCATTCTAAATATTTGTAACATTATTGAATAAAAACATAAATAAACTATACATAGTGGATAGTATACTATTTTTCTTAGTTTCATTAGTGAATAGTTCCGTCTTTGTAGTTTCCAGTTGCTGATAGAAAGGCTGGAAATCTTATGTGTGCATATGTTTGGAAGCACGAGGGCTGGTGTTTTATGCTAGCAGAAGAGGTGTGAGAAAAAATGTTGAGCTGATTTCTCTCTCTCTCTCTCTCTCTCTCTCTCTCGATAAGCTTCATTTAGTTATTTTCTAATTTCAACGTCCTAATGTATAGCATTCAGTCAGAATTTCTTTACATAAACATAAGTGATCATTGTTGAAAATCTAAAGTGTTTCTCTTAAAAAGTCAAAGAGCTAATTAGTTTTCTCCTGAAGGATTAGTCCTGGAACACTTGCTTCAGTTCCTTCGCACAGACAGAAGTCTTCCTAGTAAACTTCATAATAGTGTGCTGTTTCCTCATCTGATTAAATAAGTCTTTGGTATTTGAATTTTTATGATGGCGCTCTGAGCTTGAGGCTCTCATAAACTTTTTTCTTGAGGTCCTGCAGTCATTTTCTCCCAAAACTAACAGGGATGGGAAGGTTCGAAGCCCTGAGGAGGCTGAGAGGTGACTGCTGATGTGTCTAAGTGGGGCCGGCAGGGGCTGCTGCCAGGACAAGGCTGCCACATTCCTGCTGTGTCTGGCCTTGGACTCCCTTAACATCATAATCTGGATTCTATTAAGGGAATTCTGTGTTTTTCCTCTGCAAGAGTCACCCCCTACCATGACAAATATTTTAAAATATATATGTATATATTTTTAAAGTTGGGAAAGTAAACTTTTTCCCAAAAGAAATTTATAGTTCAAATTTATACCAATTTCTTCCTAACTAGAGCAAGCTAGGTTCTCCCTAAAGCTTCGGTTTTCCCATAAAACATTGCTCTCCTTTGGAAGAAGTGAACTTTCTTTTTTATAGGCGAGGGGATAAAGCAGCGCAGATGTGCCTGTGCTGAGACAAGCTGCAGAATGTACCTGGGGAGCGTGGGGGCGCGCAGTCGGGAGGGGGGGATGAAGGGAAAAGACTGTGCTGGGATGCTCACATACAAAGGAAATGCTAAGCGTTTGATGCAGTGAGCTTTTCCTTCTCCTTCTTTCCCTGGGAAGTGACTGAGGCTGTGCCAGGTCATTTTCACAAAGCCATTGTTACAGGTACCCAGCTTTCCCATGAGTGATTGTTGCCTTTTCACCGTACAGGACTGTCGTGATGCCCGTGGCCAAAGAGTTTGATCCGGACATGGTCCTGGTGTCTGCCGGATTTGATGCGTTGGAAGGCCATGCCCCTCCCCTAGGAGGTTACAAAGTGACAGCAAAATGCAAGTATCTCTTCCAGGACGTCATGAAATGCTATGATGTCATAGACCGTTTGTCCTGTACCATATGTGATACCCTTTACATGAGTTCTGTAAACTCTGGGGAGATGTTCGAAAATGATTGGCGTAGTATTTACTGCTCTGTCAGTTTCGTATCTCTGTAGAAAATTTCATTGAACAAAAGCAAAATGATTTCCTATAGTAGACTTGATAGACACATCAGAAACTTCCCGCATTTTAGGAGTCTTACTTTTCATTTAAAGAGTAAAGCAATATGGCTTCTGTCTGTGATACAGTAGCTGATCTGAGAAGTCATAAGTCTGGGGAAACTACTGGGCCTTTTGAACGGAGAACATAGCTGTGATTTTTATTCCATTGTACATGGAATAGAAATAGCTACTTGGCAATAATGCCGTGTGCTCCCAGGTTCAAATGCAGGCTTAATTGTGCTACAGCATTCCAGAGGAGCCGTGCGGCCTGTGCTGGTCTTCTGTTGGGCTGCAAGGACACACTTTCTGGCAGTGTTCCACTGCAGCCAACTACCCAGCAGAGAAGTGAATTTTGTGTTTTATTGTGTTTGAAGAATTTGACTCCACGGAATTGAGCTGGACGGGAACGTTCTTTAGGAACAATTTCCTTACTCTGCGCAGGAAAGCGAAGCATATGTGCAGTGCATGCATGTAAATACGCATTGGCACCATGCGCACCTACTAAACAAGACAAGACTGGAGAACTACAGGGGACGGCATCCGGTATTAAAGGCTTTGGGGGAGTCGAAAGCAAACAGAACGAAAACAATTCCAGCGGTTTTAAGTGGGAGAGATGAGTTTGGAACGTGTTTGCTATATTAATTTAAAAAGAACCAAAGAAACAGCTCCATGCCAACCTTTGTTTGTCGCTGGCTGCTCATGTGAGAACATTTCTGTGCTCTAATTGTTCCAGTAACATTGTTAGGTAGTGGCTATTTTTAACATCTGTTATTTACCCAGGGTTCTTGGTGCCTTGTTGTCTATCGAAAACAAATTAGAGCCGGCAACTCCATACAAACAACAAAAACTAGATATTGTATATTCTGAAAAATTGAATACAGAGGCATTTCCTTGTATTGAATATCTTTATGATCCCTCCGGTAATGCTGTTCACGGAACTCACCTCAGATAGAAATCTGTCTTTCTATTGCAGATAAATCTCATTGGAGTCAAGGCTGGTGACTCCTTTACTTTAAAGAAAGAAAAGTAAAGTTTTACACCAAAACAAAGGAAAATCTAAATGATACAAACCCCAAGGGGAGGAAGACAGAAACCTGGGAAAGGTGGCCCTTTTCGTGGAATTCACACATCTCCTTCAGGAGTTGGGAAACGCTGGTCTTTGAGTCTTTCCCCTTGCCCAGGGGTGGAGGTTTAACTTCTCCATCTCTCCAAGGGAAAAGGGACTAACCTTTGTGTTAAATCTTGGACAAATGAATTTCAAATCTCAAATGTCACATTGCAAAGCAGAATCACAAACAGTAGCGATGTGGTCTCTTTTGCTTATAGATACTAGAAACATTGTGTCTAACACTTTTGCTCCAGCAGAGCTGGTCAGCTTTCCGATGACATAATAAAATAGCTGAGATAGGCGGTTTACACCATGGGGAAGGGTTGTTCCTGCCAGCAGCTTTTGAGTTTATCACCGGTGGGCCTGAGTGGCAGGGTACAACTGTTTATCTCATGGGTAGCGGGGAGGAAGAGAAGGGCAGGCGTTAGAATGGTTAATTTTCTACTAAAGCACCTCTTTGGTGACTGTAAACCTCCTACTATGCCCACCTTTTCAGTTTCTACTTCTTTCCTATACCACCACGTTCATCCTGGGGATGGAGCTGCTAATTTGGCGGCCTCAGACCCCAGTTCTTTCACACAGAATGCAAGGGAATCTTCAACATTTCAAATCTACTAATATAGCAATATTTTATTTATATTTTAATAAATAAAGCTTGCTTAATGATCAGAAGGGTAAAGCTAAGTCACTAGGAGCCAGAGAGTGGTGTCACACACCTTTAATCCCAGGATCTGGGAGACAGGGGCAGCTGGATCTCTGTGACTTCAAGGCCGTGGTGAGCTCCACAAGGTCAGTGCAGAAACAAATTCAGGCAGTGGTGCCTCAAACTTTAATCCCAGCACTAGAGGGAATATCAAATGGGAGGAGAGAGAGGCTCTGGCTGTTTAGTCTGAGGTGGCCCAGCCTTGGTAGAGGTGAGACTTCTCTAGTGAATTGGCCGCTTTGCTTTTCTGATTCTCAGACTGAACCCCAGTATCTGACTCTGGGTTTTTATTATTTGTGCTACATACTAGCATATTTGTATTTATAAGGAATATTTTATTGCTTCCTACCCCCAAATTAATTTGACTCTAAACAGTCCCACCGTCCCTTCATAAATTCCTAGTCCCTGCACCTCTCTTCTTGTGTTGACTCCCAACAGAAGCTGCCAGGCAGGAGGCTATCAGGTAGTAGTAATTGCCCTTTGGTCAGCTCTTGGCCACTCAATCAGGAAGATTCATAATGAGGGGAGAGGATCTAGAATGTGAAGCACAGGAGAGGCTGTTCGGAACAGGTCACAGATTTCGTAACTAGGAGTGTGATAAAGTGTTTGTGGATTTGTGTTTAGTTGAAATGGAGTTAGCTATGTACTGGATTTCTCTTCACTGAGGGAAACAACCATGTCACCACATACAAAGGGAAGAGATTGGAATGTGCCCTCAGTAGGCCACACTGGGGTCGGAGACTCCCAATACTATCTGTGATAACATGGACACCAGCACCCACCTCCAAGCAACCGCATCATTATTTCCGGGAGGCTTCGGGATGCTGGCAACAGTTTCTCACCATGGACCTCACCACCCTAAGTGGGCAGGATCGGGGAGCGCTGCACAGCCTTCCGGAGACTCCCAAGTGACTCTCCTCTGGCTTGTATCAGGCAGATGCATTCTCTTCAACTTGACAGACAGGCGATTAAAATTGAGATCTCAGTGCTCCATGCCAGAAGTCATCCTGCCAGTGTGCAGAGTCCCAACACAAAGTTGAAAATGGGGTACAAATCTAAAGTAAATTGTAACTAAACTATATGAAAACAAATGTTCTGCTAAACTTTTTCAATTTTAGCTAAACTCATTCTTGTTCCAAGTAAAACACTGGATGATTTGATCTGAGAGCGATTTGAGGGTACTGTCATTTCAGACATCTGAAAATTTATTTCCTTGGCACGTCAAATTGAGTTTTTACAGTACTTTATTTTATATTTTTGAAAGGAAAGGAAAGATCAAGTCAAAACAACAATGGATTTTGTTCATTTTAAACATCTAAATAGCTGTCTGACATTAAAGGAAGAAAGGAAGGCTGTTTCTGAGATGAGAATTTCAGTCTAAATACAGAGGTGATTTTTAAATAAAGACGATTCTTAATGCGGCTTTCTTCTCTCCTCTCTCATCCTGTTTTTGTCTTAGCTACAAAACTACAATATAAATGTTGGGTTTTGTTTGTACAAAAGTTGAAAACAATTTTAACGGAGTTTTAGAAATATTTGCTTAGAATTTTTGTTCTTCTTTAATTTCAGGGCCAAGATTAAGTTCCAACCTAAATGTGGCTTCTCTGCCTTAAGCCCAGACCCAACGTGCCCTTGAAAGCATCCATTCCCCTCACTAGATAGTCTGGTTCCTATCTGGTTGTCTTCATGTTAGAGTTTGAGAAGACAGCCACGGCAACAGTGCCATGTTCAAGAGTGAAACTGGCTTTCCCCTCCCAGAGTTCCCAGCTTCATGGTGCTATCACCTCAGGAGAGCAGTAGCTCTTTAGTTCCAGCTCAGTTTCACAATAAATATGTTTCGCTCTCTCGCATTGATGTGCCTGTTCTCTGTGTCCCTCGGCGTGCAGTAGTGAATTCCTACAGGCAGATTGCTTATGCCACGTGAATAAGAATCTTTTTCCTCTGAAAAAATGATAGGCATGTCTGATAAGATGTATATTATTTTAAAACCATATACAATTTTTACTTCAGTAAGAATTCTGTAGTTCCTGGGATATAAACCATTTTTATCAGATGAAACAGCATTACTTTTATTCATTTAATTTCTCAAGAAGGAATCATGTAACATTATCTTAGAGAATTGCTTTCCTAACTGTTCTCTGTATTGAGAATTACTTTTCTTCTGTTTGTAAATCTCCCCCCTACTACTAGGAGTGTGGTAGGATAGGGAGCCAGCACAGTTTGGGACAAGCACCTGCTTAGACGAACTCAGACCTAACTGTCAGTGATTTTTCATGGAAGAACAAGTGTTTCCTTATTAGTTGGCCCTCTAAAAATAAGTCTTTAGAAAGTTGGGTTTTAATCAAAGCAGCAAATAAGTGCAAAGAACCAAACGTGCTCCATACATTAGGCCGTGTTGGGCATCATATGTTAGGCCGTGTTGGCATCATACGCTAGGCCGTGTTGGCCATCCCATCTGCCCATAACGTCTGTGTGTGCTGCATCTTGGTTCTGATCTGTATGAGGATGACTGGAGTTTAGAGAGCCTTCCCTCTGTGCATTTTACTAACCCAGCACTGAAAATAGACAGAGCCAGAACAAGCACAGCATGGTACAGCTGACTTCCCTTTCTACCGTGCCTTTCTCTCCAAGGGCCTCGCATCTATCCTAAATTGCCCATTTTTAAAACGACTGGATTTCTTTCCCCTGCTTAAAATTTATAAAGACACTGAATGCATTTACTCATGTGATTTCTTTACTGTATGCTTGTTCCTTCTCTGTGAAAGAAAGTGCATTTCAGCCTCTGGGGAAAACTCTATCCCCCAGTTTGGTCTTACTGTGACTGGGGAATCTGTGTCATGACCTCTAATGATAGATCATCAGTCCATGGGCAACAATGGCAGAGAGAACAGTATCTGTGACAGTTAATAACGAACACTTCCTGAGGGTTCACTGACTCCAACTTCTCTGCTTGTCCTCCTTTATATGAGGGTAAAAACTGGAG